TTTAAATGTAATCTCAATCGTTATCTTCTCCTTTCTTAATTCTTTTTCTTTTATTATTCTCTTTCCTTAATAATGTTTTCTTTTTCTTATATTCTTCCATGCCCAATTACCCTTTGCGTCTTAGTGGTTTTAATTCCTTCCTTGGAGTGAAATGATTTGAAAAAAATTCAACGGGTGATTCACCCATACTTATATATCATTTTTTTTTAATTGTAAAAAATAAGCTTGATATCTTTGAGAAGAAAATTAGAATAATCCAGAAACCTATACTGGCAACAAACAGCCTGCCTATGGATAGAAAATGAATTCAGTAAATGTACAAAAATAAGGTGTCTTCTCACAAGATTTATTTAACCTTCACGATAATGTAACCATCAGAGAATTAGAAGTTATATCGTATCCTGTCTGCACTCCCATATTTTTTAAAAACAACCGGAAGAAAAATACTTAACCGTCGATCGTTGTAAAACTGATGCACAATGTAAAAAAAAAAGAATAAGAAAAAAGAAATGACAGGTAGAAAAATTTAAATATCTAGGAAGTGTTTTAAAAGAGGACGAAAATGTGACACCGAAATCCGAATGCTTGATTTTAGTGTCTTTAAAATGTAATTCGCGGACTGAACTGTTTCTTTTGCTGGCAACCATGCATTGCCTTCTTATAAATGATATTTAATCCTTTCTTCATGCTTTTATTCACTATCTTCTGTAATAGTTCCTTTCTGCGCTATCAATACTGCATCAGGAAGAGACATTTGAAATCTCTAGGGTAGATAATGAGGAAATAGGGTTAGGGAAATTTGACACTGACAGGACATGTCGAAGGCAAAAGGGACAGAGGAATGCAGCGCATAAACCCTGCCTAACGAGCTTTTGCAAATGGATGACAGAGCAGGGATTAGGCGGGATAGCAAAGAGACATGTTTAATTAAATGCTCTAAAGGACAGGAAATCTTGGAGTGTCACGGCACATAGAAGAAGAAGGGGGAGGAGTTGTAAGAGGAGGAGAAAGATGACGAAAAAGGAGGCGGATGGAGGATGTAAAAGGAGGAAGAGGAGGAAGAAAAAAGAGGAAGAGGAAGAAGAAAAAGAAAAAGGAGAAGGAAAAGGAAAAAGAAAAAGGAGGAGGAAGAAGGAGGAGGAAGAAGAGGGAGGAAGAGGAAGAGGAAGAAAATATTGTTATTATTATTGTTATTATTATATCTTTTAAATAATTCATAATCATGATGTATCTAATTTATAAATAGCTAAATTATGATAAAATAATGTTAAAATATGAATGGTTAAATTATGATAACAAAATAATATTAAATTATGATAACAGTTTATGATAACATTTATGAAAACAAAATAATGTTAAAATATTAAAAAAAATATTGTACTTGATCTTCTAATTCCAGGCTGCTGGTACCATCTAACATAGTAAAACCTGCTCCATATGACTTGGAAATTCCCATTATCCTAAGAAATATTAGGAACGGCATTTAAGTAGCATGGTACCCCGACAATATCATGGGTCATGGAATGAACAGAATAACAGTTGAAAATAGTTTTATTATATTGGATCTCAATTTGGTGTGTTTGTGCCACCTTAGTGTTATTTCGGCAGTGACCTTTTGCTTTCTTGAAATTTAACTATCGTTTCACAATTATCTCCAGAGTTTGTTTTCTATAAATAGATAATTTAAACCGATTAGCATTATGAAATAATAAAAACACACTTACGAAACAGATACTGGCATTTGACCCAAATATAAGGAATTTATATTAACAATAACAAATCAAATAATCACATTAATTGGTAAATTAATACTCTCACACATCTCTCTCTCTCTCTCTCTCTCTCTCTCTCTCTATCTATCTATCTATCTATCTATCTATCTATATATATATATATATATATATATATATATAGACCTAAGAAATGATTTTAGCCAGGAGAAATAAATCACATCTAATTTAAAAATTTAATTACGTAATCCCAACTCAACATAAATTTTATTTGGAAGAAATATGGAGTAGCTCCTCCATTTACTAGTTTCAGCGCTTATATTCGATTTTTCATGGATTTGATCAAGTTATCAACAATCGTCTGATCCATATTTTGCCACTCCTTTAGAAATGCTTCTTTAAGGGTTGCCACTGACGTGATTTTGGTTGCACACTCTCGAATCAATGTCCTCCCAAACGTGCTCAATTGGAGTCATGTCAGGACTTTGGGATACCCATGGCAGTGACTTGATTCCTTGCGATTCCTTGCGATTCCTTCCAGGCCTTTGCTACTTTGCTCGTATGATATGACGCTCTACCTTCCTGAAAAAGGTAGACATTCTTATCAATCTGATTGGTTTCAAATAGTGGGAGTAGTCCTTTCTCTAATATGTGACAGTATTTTGGACCATTCAACTGCTCGTCAACAAGAATCAATTCAGACTTCTCTCCAAACCAAACAGCGACCCACAACAATTCTCCAATCCCTCCATGTTTCACGGTCGCCTGCAGACATTCAGCGTTCCAAGTCTTATTCTTATTTCCAAACATAAACCAATCTCGAATTCGAATATTGGTAGAATTTACTTTTATCTGACCAAATTACAGACTACCAAAATGCATAATCTTTGCTCTCGAATTCTCTCGCCCAGTCTATACGCCTGTTCCTGTTGACATCTGAAATCAAAGGTTTCTCTCTTGCAACTCTTCTTTGATAGCCAAGCTCTTTCAGAATCATTCTCGCTACATATGGCGACATTTCCATGATGTTGACGACATCTTTGACGCTCTGACGGTAATTTCTGATGACTCCACTATTCAGTGCCCTTTTCGTTCGCTCAGACACGATGCTTAGTCTTCTTGAACGTTGTTCCACACGAAAATGGCCTTCTTCATTAAATTCCTTGACAATATTATTAACCATTTGATGATTAACCTGGGAGAACCTAGCATTTTCTCTATTTGACTTGCCACACTAATGCCATCCTATTATTTGCCCTCGTTGAAATTCACCAGTTTTCTTACTTTCGGGAACTTTGATTGCAAAATATAAGTCAACTATTGTTCATAGATGAGACTAGCTTTATACTAACACGGTATTGTCTAGAAAAAAAAGAAGAGACGCAATCAAGGGTGACTAAAAACTTATCATAGCCCATCGTATAAAGTTGTAGCCTCTGTCTGCCTGTTTATTATCGAACTACCTCCAGGGTTTTGGAGATAGACCCCCATAACCATATATATTCTGAAACTACATTACCCAGGGTATTTGGTTACGTATATTTCATTTTGATCAAAGTGGGTCTCATTGAGGCACACCTTCCACTGATTTTTTCCCTTTGGTATAAATTAAATTTAAAATGGAACAAATAAATGACTTCTAGGATATTTGAATAAGTATATTTCATTGGGATGAAAGGGGGTCCCCAGGGTGCACCCCCCGCCCCTCAAAAAACTCACTAAAATTGTTTGCCTTTGATTTAAATTAAATTTAAATTTGAAGAAAGGAAATGACTCCTATCCAAAATATAGAAGGAGAAAGCCAGAAGATGGAGGTCACATCGGCAAGATTACAAGACAATATGGATGTCATGTTGAGCAAGAAATCACCAATCAGTGGGTAGTACCTTGCAATGCATATTTGTTGTGACAATTCAACTGTCATATCAATATTGAAATCTGCTCATCAATTCATTCAATTACGGATTGCATCAAATACCTATCAAAGGGGTCAGATCAAGCTGTTTTTGCTCAGATACACCCACTACTGAAAATATTTTTCTCCTTGTTTGAAATTAAATTTTAATTTGAACAAGAGAAGAAGCCAGAAGATGGTGCTCACATCGACAAGAGTAATATTGAAATGCATCATTTTTCTCCACAGATTGTAACAATAATTTAAAATCAATCATTTTCTTACAAAAAGTGAGTCTCTCTCTCTCTCTCTCTCTCTGTGTGTGTGTGTATGTGTGTGTGCGTGTGTGTAGTTAAACAGAAATCCCTCTTTTATACTCTGTACTGTGATATTGTGTATTGTTCATTAGCTAAAGTGGCTGAAACGCTTGGGATAATGGTCAATACGGATAATTTTTGTATTCCCTTACTACCGACAAACGGAAAATATTCTAAAAAATAAATAAAAAAAATAATGAAATTTTCCTTTAACGAAACATATAACCTGTTTTTGACCGGGTCTTTCATTGCTGGGAAGTTTTGCCGTTCAGTTGGAGCAGTTCAAATTTAAACTCAACCCACCGGAAAATAAATATTAGTAACAACATTTGGGTGCAACTGAGGCATATCTCCAAATGGGTGTGTGTGTGTGTGTTAACAATTTGAATGGCGGGGGGGGGGGGCTGAAAAGGGAACTGTATAATAATAAATAATATTATTGCAATAATTTAAACTATTTATATTTTATTAAAGTTTTTATGAAAGATATATATTCAAGAACAGATAGTAAATAGTAAAACGTTGCTGAGAGTTATAATGGACAGGAAGTAGTGGAGAGCCATTGTCACTAACAATTTGAATTCAAAACCGGCAATGAAGAATTATCTCTCAGGCAAAAGAATTTCATAAAAGCCGGGTAAAAACTGTGGAAATGCATAAACAACATCCGATCACACATACACACACATTTTGAGAATTTTATATATATATATATATATATATATATATATATATAAAGATATGCTATGTTTGTGGTTAAAAGTTCTCAATATTCAGGATAGATCTTGTGTAAGAGCGGATAGTGAGCTTAACACTGAGTGGTGACCGTTTGTTTCATGCTATAACGCAATCTTCAGGCGCCTCTCTCTCACACACACACGTATATATATATATATATATATATATATATATATATATATATATATATATATGTGTGTGTGTGTGTATGCTTGGTTAAATTAATACAGAATTATGTATGGGTAAGTGAGTACTCACACATATACACACACATTTAGCCTCGGACATATAATCATTTATACATATGGCTAGATATTAGCGTCATGCACACACACAGAGGAAAAGAGAGACAGATAGATACACAGAGAGGAACGAAGGAATAGAAGGAAAAGAATGAATGAGGAAATTAAAATAATTGCATTTATTAAGAGGAAAATTCCCTGGAGAAAATAAAGGTGGAAAAGTCTGGAAAGGGTGGAAAATAAAAATGATTTGAAAATAAAGACGTAAAAAAAATAAAGGAGTGGCTGAAAGAAAGAAAGAAAGAAAGAAAGAAAGAAAGAAAGAAAGAAAGAAAGAAAGAAAGAAGGAAAGAAAGAAGGAAAGAAAGAAGGAAAGAAAGAGAAAAACAAAATTAGAAAGAGAGGAGGAAAGAGAAAAAGAAGAAAACAAACGAGGAGAGAAACAAATATAAATATTTAGAAAGAAACTGAAAAAAAAGAAAGAAAGAGACATTGAGTAGAGAAAAACAGAGGAAGTAGATGGAAAAAATAAAAGAGAGACAAAGTGAAAGAAATCAAGAAAGAGACAGAAAAAAGGAAAATAGAGGGACAGGAAAGAAAGAAAGAAAGAAAGAAAGAAAGAAAGAAAGAAAGAAAGAAAGAAAGAAAGAAAGAGGGGAGGTGAAAACAAAAAATATTGGGAAGTAAAAGGCAAATGAAAATGCATATTGGAAAATGGAAACAGAATATGAGAAAAGTTAAATAAAAGGCAAAAAAATTAAATATAAATAAAAAAGAAAAGGTAAAATAATTGATTCAACAAAAAAAAAAATATTAAAAAAGGTGTTTTGAATGCAATCTATATGAATGAAATCCTCCCCAAATTATCCGAATGCAGCAGAATCAACAGAAGAAGAAAAAAAGAAGAAAAAGAAGCTGATGAAGAAGAAAAATATGAAGAAGCAAAAGAAAAAAAGAAGTAAATAATATCCTGATTACGCAGCCATTTTCTCCAGTCTTAATAATAAATTTGATCGGTTCGATAAGTTCAAATTAGCAGTTGATCATAAAAATGACCTACAATCTGTTGCTAAATGGGAATAAGGAGTGGTTTGTTAATTTTAACGCCTCAAAAACGAAACTGTTCTCTTTTAATCGTCTGATAAAACCTTTTTTTATCTTCCATCACCACGGCTAATGCTAACCTCCAGGTGAGAGATTGATTACACTAACGTTTTCCGCTGACATGAAGTGGAAAGAGTATATTGAATCAATTGCCAAGTCTACAGCTAAGAATGTTGGTTCAATCTGTTGAGCTAGGCAATCTTTCTTGACAGACTCTATCTTACATAGTTATAAGACTACCATTCGATCTTCTTTTAAATACTGCTGCCACATATGGTCTGATGCTCTTGTTACATATTTAGAGATTCTTGATAAAATCCAAAGAAAAATTTGCAATGTTATTGGTCCTGCCACCACCGTAACGTAGCTTCCCTAGACTTTATGAATTTACACACAGTACTAGATTGGCAGACAGGTCTCATTTAACAGTTGAAATGACTCGATGTAACCGTAAGTTCTATGCTATTAGCTTCTTCTTGCTTGTAGAAATCTCTTCCGGCTTCTTGCATACCTGTTAACTTTGATCTTCAGCAATTTAAATGCAATGCCAATCGTTATATTCCATCTTCTTAATTCTTGTTCTTTTATTGTCTTCTCTCCTTTTGGATTCTTTGACATGGTGTAATGGTTAACAAGCTTGTCTCACTAGAACAATTACAACTGAGTAGTGAGTTTGATCCTCACTGGGTGCTACATACATTCAACCTTGTACCATATCTAAGCTACGCTTAGAAAATAAGCTTAATAGTATGTTTTTCTCATATTGTCTAATCCCTTGCGTCTTAGTGGTTTTATTGCCTTGCTTAGGGTGAAATGATTAAAAAAAAAAAAAAAAAAAAAAAAAACAAGACAAAAACAAAAAAAACTAAAGAAAGACGAAGACCAAGCTAAGAAAAAACAAAGAAATTGAAAAAGTATTTGAAATAGAAGAAAAAAGGGAAGATGAAAACAGGAAGGAAGTAGAAATGGAGAAGAAGCTGAGAAAACAGAAACTGAAGAAGAAAAACAAGAAAAAGCAGGAAAAAAGAAGGAGAAAATGAAAAAGAAGAAGCCAAAGAAGTACAAAGAAACTGAAAACAAGATGAAGAAAAAACAAAAGATGGCGCTGAAGACGAAGAAGCTGAAGAAGAGGAAAAAGAATCTAATGAAGGGAAGAAGAAGAAGAAGAAGAAGAAGAAGAAGAAGAAGAAGAAGAAGAAAGAAAGAAAGAGGAGCTGAAGAAGAAGAAGGAGAAGTTGGAGAAAGAGAACAAAGCAAAGAAAAAGATGAAGAAAAACTGAAGAAGCAAATGAAAATGAAGCTGAAGAAGAAAAGAAGACGCTAAAGAAGGACAAAATTATTGAAGAAGAAGAAGAAGAAGAAGAGAAAGAAGGAAAGAGGAACCGAAAAAGAAGATGAAGAAAGAGTAAAAGGGGAAGACTAAGAAACTGAAGAAGCCGAAGGAACTGAAGAAAGAGAAAAAACAAGAAATAAAAAGAAAAACTGAAGTAAGAAAAGAAACTGAAAAATAAAGACTTTATAAGCGGATCAAAGGAAAAAAAAGATGAAAAAAATGCTTAATGATAGATGCTGTCAGAAATATACATTTAGCGAATCACTCCCAAAATATTATTACTGCTAACTTCTGACCCAAGAAATCACAGAGTTGGCATAAATGCTGCGTAAATATTTTAATAAATTAGAGCCATCGTTTTTAAAGTCTAAATTGAAAGAAACTGGTTGAAAAGATCTTATGGCTTCAATCTTCCTGGTAGGGACCGTATTCCACTTTTCAACTTTCTTCAATCAGTGTCAAGTAAAAGTTTGTGTGTGTGTTTCTTCGTCTTTTTTTTATCGTTTCACCCTAAGCAAGGCGTTAACGCCACCAGGATGTTACAGGGATTGAAAGTGAAATAGAATGAGAAGACTGAAAATGGGAGGATTGAGGAAAGAACTAAAATGAACAAGGTTTAAGAAGATGGAATATGGGGGTTGCACTTAAATTTTAGACTGAAGATTGATGCAAAAAATTGGATGGGAGTTCCACAAATGGGAAGTGCGAGAAAAGAAAGTGTTGGCGGTTGTAGGGATTTTCCAAGCGTAGCTTAGATGTGGCACAAGGCCCAAAGTAGTGGGCACCCAGTGAGAATCGAACTCACTACTCAGTTGTAATGGTTCTAGCGAGAGAAGCTTGTTAACCATTACACCACCTCGAAGTGCCCTAATTGATTTTCCAAGTGTAGCTCAGATGTGGCACAAGGCCGAAAGTAGAGGGCACCCAGTGAAGATCGAGCTCACTACTCAGTCGTAATTGTTCTCGCGAGACAAGCTTGTTAACCATTACACCTCCTCGAGGTGCTCTGATTTTCTAAGCGTAGCTTAGATGTGGCACAAGGCCGAAAGTGTGGGCTACCCAGTGAGGATCAAACACACTTTTCAGTCGTAATAGATTTAGATTGCTAATAATTACATCACGTCGAGGTGCCCAAGATATAGTTATTTTCTAACCGTAGCTTAGATGTGGCACAAGGCCGAAAGTATAGAGCACCTAGTGAGAATCGAACTCACTTTTCAGTCGTAACTGATCTAGCGAGACAAGCTTGCTGAACATTAGACTACCTATATCAGTTACTTAACCATGGCGGAATAAGTAGAAAGCTGGCTTAGGTGTTTCGCAGCGTCGACGAGAGTAAAAAAGTTAAAAGACACCAAAGCTAGTGGAGGAGAAAATGAAGTTATGGATTTGTTGTTGGCCTCAGCGGGGTTTCAGGCCATAAATATCTCCGTCATGGTATATCCAAAAGTGTTGGATGATTTAGCGTATGAAGAAATTGCCGCCATCATAAAAGCAAATATACAACCCCAAAAAAGATTCGTCATAGTGGAAAGAACTGAATTTTTCTAAAGTAGACAAAACTTATGCAATATGTACAGCGATTGAAAGAAGCGTCGAGATATTGTGAATTTGAAAGAATGGGTTCGGAACAAATGTCTATCGAAGACGAGCTAATTGTGCTCAGACTGATTGAAGGAATGTTTGACATTTCGTACAAGTGTAAAATTCTAGAGCGGCTTTAAGCTCATAAGATGAATCCGGAAGCATGTGTGGAGTTCTTACAACAATTAGAATTGATTAAAAAATTTAATGCCTCTGAAGGCAGCATGGGGACTTACAGTGCTACTAAAAGGTTATTTGTATGCAGATATTGCAATAAGGGACTTGAAAAGAACAAACGTAAGTTTCCGGGCTTTGGGAAATGGGGTTTTAAGTGTAAAAAGAAGAATCATTTACAGACAGTATGCACTTATGATGAGCGAGTGGAAAATATAGATCCTCCGATTGACAATACGGAAGTATTTGAGATAAAATTACAGAATAAAAATAGGGAAATGATGAAATTGAACGGAGTAACTTTACTCATGCAGGTGGATACTACAATCGGGAGATCAAATTGAAAGGAAAGTAATCTCCAGTTGAAACAGTTCGATGGGTCAATCATCAAAATTTTAGGATGTTTTGAAGGTACGTTTGAGACAAAAATAGATTCGAGATAATACCCATCATAGTGGTGGAAAACATCAAAAGCCATCCATTTACACATGTTAGGTAGCAGATAATGGCGCTTCACAACTTCCTAATCTTATCCTATCCTAAGCAGTGTTTGTCTCCTTTCTACACTCCAAGTTGCTGTTCTGTCATCCACTTACACCAGCTTGTTAGGCAGGTGATCATGGCACTCCACAGCTTCCTATCTTATCCTTTGTAGCTCTTTAGCAATGTTTATCACCTTGCTACACCCCAAGTTTTTGTTCTGTCATCCATTTACACAAACTCGTTAGATAGATTACTTGCCTTTTCCTCTTCCTTTCTTACTTTCATTATGTCCTGTGAGTGGCAGATTCTCCGAGCCATTTTATACGTCTTAAAAATGTCAATGGTCTCTTTCTGGACCTAAGCGGACGTCTCCATTCCGTTTCTATTCTTCTTAAAACTTCCTTGTTGCTCACATGCTTTGTCCATAGTATCCTCAGTATCCTTCCACGTCCCTGTTCTGTTATTTATTTACACAATTTATTGATTTATTTTTTACGCCTTATCAACCTTTTTTAGATTATTTAAAGTCGAAACATATATTGGGATTGTAATAAATTTTTGGAGATAATACTTAATATTTAACCCATAGCTGGGAGGAGAAAAGGTGGCTTCATACCTCTACTAATGGTATTTGCACGTAAGTGATTTGGTTTGTTTGTTTACGGCATATCAACCTCAATGGGTTATTTAATGCCGACAAAATTTTCATTGTTGGTAATATTTTTCCAAAAATCTATTTCTGGTAATATTTTGCCAAAAATCTATTTCTCGTAATATTTTTTCCTTCAAAAAATCTTTCTGGTAATAATTTTCCTTCGCTGGTAAAATATTTGCTTTTCAAAAATGTATTGCTGGTAATAATTTTTTTAAATGTATTTCTGGTATCAAAACCCATCCCTACACCTTCGTAGTTTTGGGGTTAACTATTTGCCCATAGATGGGACCCTAACAGGTGCTACCACCCCCGGTAAGGGTGGACCAGGGAACACCAGCAATTAAGAGGTGGAACCATCCTGACCAGAGGCCTT